CGTGGGTGCTTGACCTGGGGGTGACGAGCCTGGAGGTGCTGAGCTAGGGGGTGTCGAGCCTGAGGGTGCTGAGCTTGAGGGAGCCGAGCGTGGGGGTGCTGAGTCTGGAGCTGCTGAGCCTGGGGGTGCTGAGTCTGGGGGTGCTACGTCTGAAGCTGCTGAGCCTGGAGGTGCGGAGCCTGCGACCGCTGGACCTCCCCTTGTGGCTTCTGGTGGTGCTAGGCCTGGAGGTTCTCCGGGTGCTCCGTCTCGGCGGGAGCCGCTCTCTCCACAGGAGCTACGTGAGTGGTTTGCTCGCCGCTGGAGGCGTGCTGCTGGTGCTGGAGTTTCTTCGGACGCTGAGGGTGCTGGTGCCACCGGTCCTGGAGTTGCAGGGCCTGCGGGTCCTACTGGAGCTGGAGCCGCTGAGGGTGTTGGTGCTGAGACTACTGCTATCTGTCCTGGCGGTGGTCCTGCTACTGGTGCGGCTGGAGGTCCCGCTGCTGGAGGTGCTGTTGGCACTGGTGCTGCCGCTGAGGGTGCTGGTGCCGTCCCTGCTGTGGCTAGAGTCCCCGCACGGCCTCGGCCGTACTTCGTTCCGCTCCTGCAGCAGGTTCTTGGTCTGTCTCCTCCTGTAGAGTGTCCACCGCCTGTCCAGTCCCAGTCACTATTAGAGCTTGCCTCCCCACTGCCCGCTCCCTCTCCTTACACTGGTCCTACTAGAGGTCTTGCTGAGCGTCGTGAGCCTGCGTCTCGTCCCGCGTCGCCTGTTCGTGCTGCTCGTGCTAGTGGTCGCAGTTCGCGTCAGCGTCCTCCTCCTGTCCCTGGCACGCACCGGATGTCTCTTCGTCCGTCCTTGCTCCTCTGCGTGCCCCTTTGCCTTCTCCTCCTGAGTCCTCTCTTCCTGCGCTTGCCGACCCGGAGTCGGACTCTCTGCGTGCTGCCAGTCCTACTGTCACGCGTCTTCTTGCTACTGTTATCACTGACCCCTCTTTTGAGTCCACTGCTGCGTCTGCTCTTGTCGCTGAGCTCGTCGACTTTGCTGCTCGCTGTCGTCTAGACTACGCTGCTAGTCTTGTTGCTGAGTCTGCGTCTGTCTGTCCTCCGTCCGTCGGGGGTGAGTGTGCTCTTGGCACGGACGTCCTTGAGGACAGGCAGGAGGAGTTCCAGTGTCTGGCTGCTGCTTCACCTCATCTCGCGTCTGTACTACTTGCCCCTGAGGGAGACCCGGATGCACTAGACATCCCGACTCCGCGTTCTTACGCGGAGGCCGTAGAGGGTCCCTACTCCTCTCAGTGGCAGGCAGCTATGGATGCAGAGATGGCTTCCTGGAAGTCCACAGGCACCTACGTTGACGAGGTCCCCCCTCCTGGGGCGAACATCGTCAGTGGCATGTGGATCTTCAGGGTGAAGCGGCCGCCTGGCTCTCCACATGTTTTCAAGGCGCGGTACGTCGCTCGTGGCTTCAGTCAGCGGCAGGGAGTTGACTACTTTCAGACCTTTCCTCCCACCCCGAAGATGACTACTCTTCGGGTACTGCTGCACATAGCCGCGCAGCGTGACTACGAGCTTCACTCTCTTGACTTCAGAACTGCTTTCTTGCAGGGCAGCCTGCACGAGGAGATCTGGCTGCGCCGTCCGCCTGGCTTCACTGGGACTTTCCCTCCTGGCACCCAGTGGAGCCTCCGACGGCCAGTCTATGGTCTCCGCCAGGCACCGCGTGAGTGGCACGACAGACTGAGGACTACGCTTGCGGCTCTTGGGTTTGCTCCCTCTACTGCTGACCCGTCGTTGTTTCTGTCGCCGTTCTACATCCTCGTGTAAGTCGACGACTTGGGCTTTGCCACTGCTGACACTGCTGGACTCGCCTACGTGAAGTCCAAGCTGCTGAAGAGACACACGTGCACAGACCTGGGTGAACTGCGCAGCTACCTTGGCTTGCAGATCACTCAGGACAGAGCACGCCGCACCATTACCTTGACTCAGTCACACATGGTGCAGCAGGTCCTTCAGCGCTTCGGCTTCACGTACTCCTCGCCTCAAGCCACTCCTCTGTCTACTCGCCACTCGCTCTCAGCTCTGCCTTCGGATGAGTCCGTAGAGTCGAGTGGCCCGTACCCAAAGGTTGTTGGCTGCCTCATATACCTGATGACCTACACACGACCTGACCTTGCATACCCTCTTAGCATTCTTGCACGCTATGTTGCTCCTGGGAGACACCGACTAGAGCACATGGCTGCAGCGAAGAGGGTGTTGCGCTACTTGTGCAGTACGTCAGGCATGGGGCTAGTGCTTGGAGGGCGGAGTTCAGTGGTCCTCACTGGGCACACGGACGCTTCTTGGGCTGACGACCAGGCTACGCAGTGGTCGTCACAGGGTTACACCTTCAGTCTGGGTTCCGGCTCTGTCTCGTGGCGGGCTACTCGCTCGTCTTCTGTCCTCAGCTCCACTTGTGAGGCTGAGATCTACGCCGGGGCTATGGCTACACAGGAGCTTTGCTGGCTCACCTACCTGCTGAGTGACCTTGGAGAGCCGCCTCGTTTTCCTCCAGTGCTGTACGTAGACAACAAGGCCATGCTGGCCTTGTGTCGAGAGCAGCGCCTGGAGCACAGAACGAAGCACATTGCTCTCCGCTACTTCCTTGCTCGTGAGCTACAGCAGCGTGGACAGTTGCGGCTTGCGTACGTGGCCTCTGAGGCCAACACTGCTGACGTGTTCACCAAGGCACTCGCGGCTGGTGACCATGAGCGCTTCTGCACTCAGTTGGGTCTTGTACCTGTCTTGCCTCACTTGCTCTCCTCTTGAGCTTGCTTGTACAGTCACATATATATACCTGTTCTTGCTTGTTTAGCTCTATATATATGTGTACTCCTGCATGTGAACTGGCCTTGTGGCTTTGTCGTTGTGCTCGGACTGTGTGGTGACTTTGTGATCCACCCTGAGCTTGCTCTGTTTTGCTTGACTGGTCTTGTGACCCCTTGTTCTCCCCCACTTTGCCTATGGGGGTGTGTCAGAACATTATATAGCTTATGCTGTTGTGTAGGCTATAGTGGGGTATCCCATAGGGGGCACAACCCAATTAGGGTTTTATATTTGTATTACTTTCATTTCATAGTCATTCATTCTTGTTCTTCAGTTTCACATGTTGGATATGGCAGGGACCCGTTGAAGAAGCCAAGGATCTGCGCTCCTTCCATCATCAGCTCGAATTCGAAAGACCAGGTGAAAAAGTCTTTTCCGTCAAAAGGCTTTGTCGTTTGCAGTTTTAGAACATGCGCGAATTGCGACTGAACTTGTAATGCGTCCAGTGCTCTCTCTTGTCCCGGTGCAGGTTGTGGTGTCAAAATTTGAAGAAAGAAAGAGGATTGAACTAGCAAGAATGAGGATACAAATAGCAAACCCTAGAAGGGTTGTACTCGCTATAGAGCACCCCACTACAAGCTAGAACAATAAGATAATATTCTGACATGTGGTTGCGGCATAAAGCTGACGGAGCCACGCTGGGGCTCGTACGGAGCAAAGGTAGGTTGTTGATGTTGATTCCTGCGTGCGTAGGATGAGCCATCGAGACTCATAGGCGTCACGTTGTTGTTGTTGTTGCTGTTGTTTGATTGCGCAGGTGCTCCTTGCTGGTGCTCCTCGTAGAAGGACATGAAGGAGAAAAATTTCTCCATCATGCTTGGATCGAAGCCCGCGCCTTGGTTTGCGGGTGTTTCCGTAGACCCAGCTGCTGGTCTCGTCGTTGTCCCCTCCTCTGTCAGTAGGCCAGAGGAAGGAGGTGGAGTAGGGGTAGTACTGGGAGAGCCGTTAGAGGAGCTCCTCTCCTTTCTAGCAGACATGTCTTCTTGATGTATTGAGTGATGAATAATAAATTTTAACTCTAACTGCTCTGATACCATGTTGGGCTGAAACGCCCTAGGATCTTTGTAGAGTTAAAGTCTGAGTAGATGTTGTAATAGCGGAAGCGTTGAAATGAAGTCTTTGAACTACCTTGCGCTGGTATGTGAGGGCAAAGTGAGTTGATTAAAGCAAAGAGATACAAGAATATAAATAGATGAGTACAGAGAATATGAAGAGACATTAGAACTACTTTTATTGTTGCGGTTCGATACAGTGCGACTCGGGCAACTGCTCAATGTCGAGTCAGTTGTTTGTCCTTGCTGTCGCGCTGCGTCATGTTAAAGGTCGCTGACCTTTGACTTTCTCGTAACCTCCGACGGTTACGTTAACCACCAAGGGTTGACTCGCGATGCTTCGGCTTGAGCTGCTTCGCTTTGTGTCTTGAGTTCTGACACGACAGAGGCGCTTAACTTATTTGTTCCCAACAATATGAAAGTAGCTCTGATACCAGGTGTTATGAATGAACTTGCAGAGTGCGCAGAATATCGAATAACGAGAATGAACTAATTACTGAATCACTGAATAATCGAATGACGATACAAAGAGAAAGGCACGACTAAATAGGGGAAGTCCTAGCTAGGCGGAGAGGTTGGGCGAGGATGGCTCGGTGATGGTTGCGTTTGGTGCGGAGGCGACTCGGGAGTGGTTCGGTGCGACGAAATAGGAAGGACAGGTTCGTCGCGTGACCCTCGGGATGGCCTCGCTATCGAGTGCCCCAGTAAGGATTCTGTAAATCCTTACATATTCCCTGGTGCATTGTTTCATAATAATTTCTTTCAAGAAAGTTTCTCTTGCTCATCTATTTTACAAACAAGCTTCAGCTATGTCGGCGCTGTGCGTTTCTAGCACTTGTTTTTAGAACAAAACTGCAAATTCAACCTAGGATTATGCGATGCTTAAATGTTACCTAAAATGGAGGTGTTTGAAGTAAGACACCCTAAACCCCAAACCCTGATCCCGTAAATGCTTAATTATAACACAAAAATTGCAGCATGGAGTGACTGGATTCACTGTTTCAAGTATGACTGGCAGGTGTGCACAAAGACAAATCTGTCTGGCTACGTGTTACCTTCAAACACATGCATTCCCGGTGGAGATAAACAAGAGCTCATGAAGGGGAATCAGTGGGCTGATTTGCCTCTCACAACAATCACCGGACACTCTGCCACAGCCGAAGCAACAAGGAAATGTGGCAAGGAAAGGGAGAAATGAACGGGAGGATATGTGGTGGGGTGGGGATGTGGGCAGGCAACAAATTCAGAGATGACTTTGAGTAAACTCAATGGTCAGGAGACATGGTGGGGCAGAGGATGTGGGATAGGGGTGGTGGGATAGGGGTTGTGAGATAGGGGTTGTGGGATAGGGGTTGTGGGATAGGGGTTGTGGGATAGGGGTTGCTTTTGAGAATTCTCTCAAGAATTCAATACAGATTGCGCAGGGATGTGGGATAGGGGTTGTGGATAGGGAGAGTGGGTAGAGGAGAATGCGCAGAGGAGGGAGTGGATGGGCTGGATTGCTATTCTCAAAAAGTCGCACGAATGGGCAGAGGAGGGAGTGGATGGGCTGGGTTGCTATTCTCAAAAAGTCGCACGAATGGGCAGAGGAGGGAGTGGATGGGCTGGATTGCTATTCTCAAAAAGTCGCACGAATGGGCAGAGGAGGGAGTGGATGGGCTGGGTTGCTATTCTCAAAAAGTCGCACGAATGGGCAGAGGAGGGAGTGGATGGGCTGGATTGCTTGTCTCAAAAGTCGCACGAATGGGCAGAGGAGGGAGTGGATGGGCTGGATTGCTTCCAGTTTGACAAGAGAATGGAAACGAGGTGACTTTTGAGTCGACTCAAAAGTCACCTTGTTTTGAGTTGACTCAAAAGTCACCTCGTTTTGGTTTGACTCAAAAGTCACCTCGTTTTGAGTCGACTCAAAAGTCACCTCGTTTTGGGTCGACTCAAAAATCACCTCGTTTTGAGTCGACTCAAAAGTCACCTCGTTTTGAGTCGACTCAAAAGTCACCTCGTTTTGAGTCGACTCAAAAGTCACCTCGTTTTGATTCGACTCAAAAGTCACCTCGTTTTGACTCGACTCAAAAGTCACCTCGTTTGGAGTCGACTCATGAGGGAGAGGATTGAATGGAGTGCTTCAAGGTTGACAAGAGAATGGCAACTCGGAAGAGAGAATAAACAAACTTCTGAGGCGCCTCAAAAGTCGCCACTCGGAAGAGAGAATAAACAGCTTCCGAGGCGCCTCAAACGTCGCCGCTTGGAATGGGAGCAACGGGAATGAGATGTGGGAACAAATTGGTATGGGAGAGAGATGCAGGCAGCAAAGGGTAGGCAGTGAGATGAGGGCAGGATGGGGCAGGGAGTGAGATGAGGGCAGGATGGGGCAGGGAGTGAGATGAGGGCAGGATGGGGCAGGGAGTGAGATGAGGGCAGGATGGGGCAGGGAGTGAGATGAGGGCAGGAAAGGGCAGGAATGGATAGGAAAATGAGGTGTGTAATTAGCTGTGCAAAGCTTACTTATGTTTGCCCGCCTCACCTATGTTTGCCCACCCCACCTGTGTTTGCCCGCCCCCCCGTGTTTGCCCGCCCCCCCGTGTTTGCCCGCCCCCCCTGTGTTTGCCCGCCCCCCCTGTGTTTGCCCGCCCCCCCTGTGTTTGCCCGCCCCCCCTGTGTTTGCCCGCCCCCCCAGTGTTTGCCCGCCCCCCCGTGTTTGCCCGCCCCCCCTGTGTTTGCCCGCCCCCCCTGTGTTTGCCCGCCCCCCCTGTGTTTGCCCGCCCCCCCAGTGTTTGCCCGCCCCCCCAGTGTTTGCCCGCCCCCCCTGTGTTTGCCCGCCCCCCCTGTGTTTGCCCGCCCCCCCTGTGTTTGCCCGCCCCCCCTGTGTTTGCCCGCCCCCCCAGTGTTTGCCCGCCCCCCCTGTGTTTGCCCGCCCCCCCTGTGTTTGCCCGCCCCCCCTGTGTTTGCCCGCCCCCCCTGTGTTTGCCCGCCCCCCCTGTGTTTGCCCGCCCCCCCTGTGTTTGCCCGCCCCCCCTGTGTTTGCCCGCCCCCCCTGTGTTTGCCCGCCCCCCCTGTGTTTGCCCGCCTCACCCCTCACCTGCATTGCGAGAGCAGTAGTCGCTAACTGAGCCAAGGAAGGTCCTGAAAGGGGGGAGGGGGGGGGGACAGGGGAGAAGGGAAAGGTGAAGGGGAAGAAGAGCGGCGAAGGAATTGGAGAGAAGTAGTCGCTGAACTGAGCCAAGGAAGGCCCTGAGGAGGGGGAGGTGGGAGGACGGGGGATGGAGGTTGTGGGAGGAAGAGTGGATGAGCGAGGATGGGAGATGGAGGACCGGGGAGGGAGGATGGGAAAAACGCAAGGGTGGGGAAGAAGAGAGGAGAAAGGGATGGAGAGCAGTAGTTGCTGACTCAGCCGAGGAAGGCGGTGAGGGGGACAGTAGACAGGGGGAGGATGGGGATACAAGAGGTTAGGAGAAACGTGCAGATGGGGTGGGGTGAACAGAGTTCGAAGGCAGGAGAGCGAACAGGAGGCAAGGCGTGCAGTGCATATAATATGATATATATATATATATGTATATATATATGTATATATATATATATATATACTAAGAAGGAAAGGGAGGGCAGGCAGAACCAAGTTGTGCCGCTTTGAGTAGACTCAAAACGAGGTTCACATGCAATCCTATCCACATTCATCAGGCACCCTGCTTAAAGCACCCATGCACACACCTCTGCACCGGACTGACCCCCCGTGAGCTCATCACGAGCGCTGCCGCGTCTCTGATAACCACCTCGCCCAGGACGAGGTGCTGTAAGTACGCTGCCCCATCCACCCCATACTCAGACACCCATGCACACACCTCTGCACCGGACTGAGCCCCCTTGAGCTCATGACCAGCGCTGTCGCGTCCCTGATGACCACCTCGTCCAGAATGAGGTTCTTGGGGTCGCCCGATTTGATGGCCTTGTCCACCTTGAGCCCCTGGGAGAGCGGTGAAGAAAGGTGGAGAGAGGTGAAGAGGAAACGAGAGAGGTGCATAGAGGTGAAGAGAGGGAGAGCAAGAGAGCACCAGCGTCTCAGATGACCACCTCGTCCTAGATGAGGTGCTTGGGGTCTCCAGACTTGATGGCCTTATCCACCTTGAGACCCTGGGAGAGTGGTGGAGAGCGGTGAAGATGGGAGAAGAAGGGGTTACGAGGGGTGTGGAGGGATGAAGAGGGGTGAAGAGAGGAGCGGCAGCATCCTTGTCGAGAATGAGGTACTTGGAGTCGCCCGACTTGATGGCCTTGTCCGCCTTGAAGCCCTGGAAGAGCGGTGAAGAGCGGTTGAGAGTGGTGAAGGGGGGTGAAGCAAGGGTGAGAGGGGTGAAAAAGGGAAGAAAGGGAGGGCAGCAGGTGCTTGGGGTCGGCCAACTTCATGGCCTTGGGAGAGCGGGAGGTGAAGAGCGGTGATGAGAGGTGAAGAGGGTTGAAGAGAGGTACACAGGGAGCAGCAGCGTCCCTAACAACCACCTCATCAAGAATAAGGTGCTTCGGGTCGCCTGGTCTGGTACACCCACCCACTGGTTAGTGTCACGTTTACTTGAGAATAAGTGTTTGTGCGGCATGTAGAGGAGGCCGTTTCAAAGATGCTCCATGGCCAACATGTACCCATCATTGCTTCTTGAGTCGACTCAAGAACAGACCAACATGCACCCATCGTTGCCATCTCCCTAGCACCTGACAACCCCATCCGTGCACGCTTGCACGCGTGCGCCCTCACGTAGAGGAAAGCATTCGTGCGCGCACCTCCTGTGGCGCCTCAGGCACACCCAGCCACTTGTTAGAGTCACATTGCTTACAGGGAAGCATTCATGTGCTTTGTGGATAACCACCAAGCACCCACTGGTGTGACTTGCATACGCGTTATAAGAGCCACACCAATTCGTTTGTGTACGCTTACAGGGAAGCCTTTGTGCGCCATGTGGATGACGTCGTTTACGATCTGCTCCATGGCCAGCATGTACCCATCGCTGTTATTTTCATACCCGTTACAAGAGGTGCACCGAATTGTCAGTGTCACATTGCATGCTTACAGGGAAGCGTTCATGCGCCTTGTGAATGACGTCATTGAGAATCTGCTCCATGGCCAGCATGTACCCATCGTCGTCGTCGCCCTGCCCTCCTGACGATGCTGACAGGTCTGCACAGATTGCATGTTACGCAGAAGAGAAGTGGGGATGGATGGGGTTGGGGCCGGGTTGGGGGCTAACATGGGAAACGGCTCAATTGCCAGCATGCACCCATCGCCGTCATTGCCTTGCCCTCCGGACGATGCCGACAGGTCTGCATGGTGGGGTGGACGATGGAACGTGGTGCAGGGCATGAAGTGCGTGGTGTGGCGTGGTGTGGTGATATGGTATTGCATGGTTGTAATGGCATAAATGAAAAAGGATGGTATGTTATGGCACGACATGGCATGGGATGGCATGCCATGGCGACAATACTTTTGCAGAGAAAGGGCGTTCTAATACAAGCACGGGAGTTTGTTACAAGCACGGTGAAGCGGTCGAGACGCAACAACGGTGAGTAATGCCACGTAAGAAGGATTACTTGCGTTTAAAAAAGCGCATCAGTGCACGACCCAGCTCGCCGGACCACTTCCGTCGTCTTGCTGCGGTTCAAACCCTTCGATTTTCTCTGCAAGAGGCGGCCACAGCCGTCGGAACAACGGAAAGCCCGTCGCCTACGGAAAGTGGTCCACGCGTATGGGGAGTCTCAACAACTGAAAAGCGCGTCACCACCTATAGGGAGGATACCTGCGCGTGGGGGAAAATACCTGTGCGCGTGGGAAGAATCGTGGCGCGGGTTGGTCGGACATTAAGGAGCGTGACATGGTCCTCCGGCTTTATTAGATTATCCAAAGCCCAAAAGAACGCGTCGCGGCTTCCCTCGCGAGCATCCATCGCAACCACAATCTGACGTTCCGCCATGTGAAATCTTGAACAACCAGACCAGTGCAAGTATCTGGATCCTGATTCACTAGCGGAAAGAAAGGCACCAGGAAGGATGGCCTCCTTCAATACGCTCTCAGCACTACGGAAAGTGCTCGATTACGGGTTCTCTCTTGGTAGCTGATGAGCAGTAGCTACGTGCAAGGGTACAAATGCTATATTTTCTTCGGAAATAGTTGAAAATACGATCAGAACTTCAAGAATGGCGTGCGTACTAATGTCGCAAGAAGCAGAAAAGTAGCACGTCGGAACAGAAAAGTTGGTCTGGCTTGCTTTTGGGCTTGCTCGGCTTAGGTGGGAGTTGGTCTGGCGATGAAAATAAAAGATTCTGATGTGGGAAGGTTTGACGAGGGAGGAAGCGGGGAAGGAAGGTAGGCTGGGGAGCAAAGTGGAGGTTTGGTCTGCGCAGCTGGGGAGAAGGTTAGTGGGGAGGCTTGATTAGGGAGAGGTGTGATTGGAGAAACTAGCCGAACCAAGCACGTCTGGGAATCAAAGGGTCAGGTCAGGCGAACAACTGTTAGGTTAGGGAAAACCGACAATGCCAAATCGGCTTTGACAAGAGGGGGAATCAAGTCAGGAAAGCTGGTTTGGCAAAAATGTAGATGCCACGAACCAAACGGCCTTGCCAGCCTAGCGAGGACCAGGCCTGTCGATTCACGGGCATTTGCCCGTTTGTCCTGAGAATTCAGGGCTGGGTTTGACGCACCTCAGAGATTTTAAGGGTTAGTTTGCGAGGAAGCCCGTAAGGAAAACGGACTGGTTTTGCCCTTGGCCGGACCCTAACGGACTGGTTTTGGGCCTTGCCCGGATTTCCGTGTATGTCGCCCCCCCCTCCTTTCCCGAACTAGCTTCCCCTTGGAGTTTCTTGACCCCTTATCCGCGAATCCGCCTCAAACACATTTAGTTGAAACTTCATAGTTTTTGTAAGCGGGTATGTTGCTGGCTGCAAATACACTAGGCCTGAAGTCAGCCCTGATTCTTACTGGCCAGCCCTGATTCTTACGGGCCAAAATCAGCCCCTACCCGGATCCTTCCGGGCTGGTTTTGGGCCAGCTCAACTTCTGAAGGGTTGGGTTTAGAGTAAGCGACAGGCCTGGCGAGGACCCGTCAGATTCGGAACAGCGAGCCTGAAGTATATAAGCCACGTGCACCTGTGCAAGCGTGGGTAGCTTGTGCGGTGACGAGGATTTGCCAGCAGTGCATTGGCGGTGAGATGACGTCAGACGATATTTGGGGGGAGCGCACCGCGAAACAGCACAAGACCTTCTCGAGTGATGACGTAGGCAAAAAACCAGTTAAGGGTGAGCCGGTTGAGGGTCAAGATTCAGAATAGGCGTTAAGCTGAGTATTCCAGAACAATTTAGACAAGGAATTTATATACACATTATCATCTACGGTATAAACGTTCCTGGTCAACATTCTTCACATGTCAAAACACACAAATGAATCAACTTTATGGCAACATCACAGTAATTTTAATCTCCAAAACTTGAGCACCACAATAACCTCCTCTTCCGTCCCTCTCCTCAGCAGCTCCTCTCCTTCAAACCCCAACCCTCTCATCCTCTCCCCCACCTCTTCAGGGTCATTCTCCGCCACAACAAGCAGGTAAAACACCCCTGTGGGAGACAATAGCTCCGCTGAAACCTCCATAGCTCGATCAATTACCTCCCTCCCGCGATCCCCTCCCGCCCAGGCTTGCGTGATTCCCGGCCGGTGCACTTCTTGAGGCGAAGTGGGGACGTATGGTGGGTTGAAAATGAGAATGTTCACTTGGCCTGCCATCCTCGGTATAAGGGCCGTTCCGAGATCCGATAAAACAACATCCGCTGGAATGCTGTGGGCTGCTAGGGTTTGTCGAGTGATGTCAGCGGCATGGGGGTTTATGTCCACCGCGAGAAATGCGGCCTGAGAGGCAAGGGAGACGGCAGCACTGGGAGCAGCAGCACCACTGCCAGCATCCCTACCGGCAGCACCAGCAACATCAACACCGCCAGCACCAGTAGCCGCACTGTTGCTGCCCGCGATGACAGGGGGGGCGGAAGGGGCAGAGAGGGCGCGGAGGGCGAGGGCTACTGATGTAAGCACGAAGCCACTTCCGGACCCGAGCTCGACAACCAGAGCAGGGAACGACGGAACGCCAGGGGATATGGTGGGGGAATGTGAAGGGTGAGGGGATGTAGAGAAATTTGAAGAAGGGGACGCGGGGGATTTGTGAGAGATCAACGATGGTGGAAGGGCTTGATCGGATGACGGACTGTTGTCGCTGGCGCAGGTTGCGAGCGACGGGTAGAACCGGGCGATATCCGTGGCGATGGCATCGGCGAGGGCGAAGGAGTCGTCGCACGGTTCGTACACCTCGGGATGACGTGGCATGAGTCGCAGATCTGGCTGTGGCCAGCTCTCCCTTCTCTGGCGTCGCTGCTGTTGCAGAAGAGAGGTAGACATCTCTGGCTGTATGTTGAATGACCTATCACGAGCCTGTTGTCTCCGTATCCGAAAGATGGCTCTTTTAGGGCGCTAAAACTGACTTCTTAGGTCTGTGCAAGCTGCTAGACCACAATGCGTTGCGTTCTGTTGGTTACGGTACAACTTCGCCCGCCGCACCAGGAAAGGCTTCCTCCTCTCGCGATACTTGCTAAACCATCACGGTCGATGATTAAACGATAAACGCGGAGGCAATCGCGGCATGGGGAGAGGTAGGCACAGGAGGAGACGGGCAGCAATTTCGCCGGGTCAAACTACGTATTATGTCGCTAGATCACTCCTCTCGCGACTGGTGAGTCGCAGAGAAGCCATGGGGGCTGAAGCTCCCGAGCATATTTTTGTTCGCATATACTGGTAATCCCTTGCTCAACCCCTGCACCAGACATGGGGAAGCCAGAAAATATGCTGGGAGGAACAAATTCCTGTCCCTTTACAGCCGGTACAATGCGGTTAAGTAAGGCGCCGAGGTTTTGGCTAGCCAATTTTTGGCAAACAGAAACTGGTTCACGAGTCACCGCTTTGTACCGTCCCGCAGCAAGCCGACCTGGTGTTGATGCACAATGATTGGTGGGTTTGCAGTCGCAGAGCATTTTTACGAGGGTTTACAGTGGCTAACGGCAAAAGCGGCAGAAACATCCCTGTCCTTTTGTGTGCACTGATGGGCTGGGGTCCACCTCGGGGAAACTTGCAAGCGTTGTTGGCGGACAAGGCAGGAAAAGACGTTGGGGGCGTTGTCGGTCGGTGCAGTTAGCTAGGAAACGCAAGAAAGCCTTACGTGTTTGCCAAACAAGCAACAAGCCATGGCTTCAAGTTCCACGCAAGAGGAGGGGAAATGAGGCGCCGCCGTTACAGAACTGGCGGAAGCAACTGGAGCGTTAGCGCGTCAAGGAGATGGAGGGACAGACAGAGGGACGGACAGAGGGAACCAGGGCGAGATATGCCCGTCCACGATTGCGTATTAATATCCAATCCAAATCTCACAGCCAAACAGGCGAACTTTCCGAGCTTTCCGTGGCCCGTTAGCTTGATGCTAAGTGCAATACGTTGCGTTGTTCATCTATCATACCTAACAGAAGGCACCTTCCTCTGTTCTTGCAAGCCTCATTCTGGTCGGGTTTGACATGGCGTCTCGTCCACTCATGCTCACAGTGCTTCTCCTCGCAGCGGCTTTGTCGCCGGCCGTCAATCTTGCGGTCGCTCAACCCTCTAACGGCAAGGTTCGAATTCCAGGCGTTACCATCGGTCCAGACGGTTCGGTGAGCGGTGACGGTTATTCAACCGACGCGGGGGACGGAAGCGTGACGGTAGACGGCACGACGTTCTTCCCCAACGGCACGATCGTGAACAGTGACGGTCAGGCGATCACCCCGACGACGAACGCGGACGGATCTGTGTCTGCCGGCGGTTTCACCGTCTATCCGAACGGGACCGTCAGTTCTGACGGGACAACCGTCAATCCTGGCGGCGGGATTACGCTACCCGGCGGGGTCAACATCAGTACCGGCGGCGCCGGCGGGATTCAGACGCCAGGATTCTCGGTGAATCCTGACGGAACCGTGACCGTTAATCAAGCCGCTCCGCCCGCACCCAAGCTTGCTGGTAGGTGCCGTGGATCCTCCTGTTACTAGGAACCCTCTGTGATTGTTACATTGAACATGAACGAAGTCGTGGCAGTAAACCCGGACTCTGTTTCAGCAACCAAGTCTGCTGGTCGGTAATAGCCATTTCGTCTTTACGTGGAGAAGTAGATCTTATACGGAGGACGCAAAGACACTTAAGCGATTTCGTTACACCCACATTGCCGCATGTCCTAAACCTACACGTTTCTCTGCTTTCGCCCTATGTCCGGAACAGGATCCCTCACATCTCCTGCGAGCATAGCGACTGGCCTCCTCGCCGTCTTGCTCGCCGCTCTCCTCTTCTGCGCATAATCTATCTACTAGATTCTTGTGGGGAATATGCAGGTTCCGTCGAGTGAGGAGACTCTTACTGGGGTATCGGGGAGTTCAATTTGGCATTCGCGATAGAGGCTGGCAGATGCATGAATGCTGGTGCACTGTGTTCTCAAACTAGTTATTACCATGCAAATTACATCCAGTTCTTGCAGATTGATGAATGCAGGACTTTGAATTCGAGACTGATGAGTACTCTTGATTGATCCATCAGGCACACATGCAATGTACGGTATGCAAGCTGCCATTTCAGAAAAGCAATCTTTCAATTCAACCATGCAGAACCAGATGAAGATCACTTGTTGAGGCACATTCACACAGGTACCGTAGAACATGGAAGGAGGAATGGTGGCTCTTGCATAAAATACCCATGCAGAGAACATTGAACAACTAAAGAAACTAGAAATTCCATTTGCTCGACTTATATTTCAGACCAGAAAAGCATGTCCAGCTTGCAGGGGCTCAGAAGTCAGCGAAAAAATGAAGTTTTTTGAAAGTGTGTAACACTTTCTAAAAATGTATATTTCGAAAGCGACGCTGCTTGTAATGCAGCAATGGCAACGGCGAAGTGCTCTACGCTCTTCGCCAACTATATAGCAGGAGGTGGAGGCCATTTGGCCTCCACCCACGTCTTCGTTTGAAATTTCAAATGTATTATTTCATTCTCGTCCGACGACTTGGCGCTTCCCGTTTTCCTCAGTTTCTCAATTCTCTCATAAAATAGTAGGCATCAACTCACTCGACATGGCACAACGTGTTACAGAAATAGGCACCCGTCCGCACAATAGGCGCGCTTGTTGGGGCTAATAAAGCGACAACGCCACTGGCGCACGTGGCGAAAAAATCGCCACAAGCGCGCGTGGCGACGAAATCGCCACAGGCGCGCGTGGCGACGAAACCGCCACAGGCGCGAGTGGCGAAGCAATCGCCACAGGTGCTCGTGGCGACGAAATCGCCACAGGCGCGTGTGGCGACGGAAACGCCACAGGCGCGCGTGGCGAAATCGCCAGTGGCGCACGTGACGTAAAAATTGCCAGCAGCGCAAGTGGCACCAGTGGCGCTCATGGCGCCGAAATGGTCAAATCGCCACTGGCGCACGTGGCTACGACATCGCCAGTGGCGTGCAATAACCAGGGGCTCGTCCAGCGGCAGTTGGCACCAGCAGGTTGGCAAAATCTCCAGAGACAAACTGGCATGACACATGCTCTTCTGCTACTGACATTGTCAGCGGATAACTTATTACCTTGCATATGTTTACACCTTTTCTTCGCACGTATCTTCGATTTTTGTTTGTCTTCGTTTTTCTCTCGTATTATTTATTACCTCTGATCGCAGTAAATTGGTGCGAGGCAACTACCATAGCTTTGGGTCGCCATGAGAGACCATCGGCGAAGAAAGACTGCGGCAAACAATTGGCACAACCCCATGCGCTCCCGTGCGGTGCTGGCCAGCGAGCTCCCCAGGGGGGAGGAGGACCGGTGGGTCCTGTGCGGTGCTGGCCAGCGAGCTCCCCAGGGGGGAGGAGGACCGGTGGGTCCTGTGCGGTGCTGGCCAGCGAGCTCCCCAGGGGGGAGGAGGACCGGTGGGTCCTGTGCGGTGCTGGCCAGCGAGTTCCCCAGGGGGGAGGAGGACCAGTGGGTCCTGTGCAGTGCTGGCCAGCGAGCTCCCCAGGGGGGAGGAGGACCGGTGGGTCCTGTGAGGTGCTGGCCAGCGAGCTCCCCAGTGGGGAGGAGGACCGGTGGGTCCTGTGCGGTGCTGGCCAGCGAGCTCCCCAGGGGGGAGGAGGACCGTTGGGTCCTGTGCGGTGCTGGCCAGCGAGCTCCCCAGGGGGGAGGAGGACCGGTGGGTCCTGTGCGGTGCTGGCCAGCGAGCTCCCCAGAGGGGAGGAGGACCGTTGGGTCCTCTGCGGTGCTGGCCAGCGAGCTCCCCAGGGGGGAGGAGGACCGGTGGGTCCTGTGCGGTGCTGGCCAGCGAGCTCCCCAGGGGGGAGGAGGACCGGTGGGTCCTGTGCGGTGCTGGCCAGCGAGCTCCCCAGAGGGGAGGAGGACCGTTGGGTCCTCTGCGGTGCTGGCCAGCGAGCTCCCCAGGGGGGAGGAGGACCGGTGGGTCCTGTGCGGTGCCGGCCAGCGAGCTCCCCAGGGGGGAGGAGGACCGGTGGGTCCTGTGCGGTGCTGGCCAGCGAGCTCCCCAGGGGGGAGGAGGACCGGTGGGCCCTGTGCGGTGCTGGCCAGTGAGCTCCCCAGGGGGGAGGAGGACCGGTGGGTCCCTTTTTGGCTTGTGGGCCATTTGTAGGGTAGATTCATAGTTGTGCAATTTAGTTACACTTCTCACACACCTTAGGCTTTGAAAGCCTTCAATTGCAAGGTCCGGATGTGGTCACACTTGAGTTGGTTGATTGAACAATGTTGTGGTGAGTTTGAAATGGTGCTCAAGTCTAGCAGATCAAAAAAAAAAAAAAAAAAGCACACACATACAAAGGGCTCAAACGCCGGCAGATTTACCCTATCCGGATACAGATGCACGCACTCTTTGTAATGTGAGCACGGTTGTGACTGCTAAAAGGGTTGGGCTCCTACAAGCATCACATCCATCATCACACAAAACACCAATGCCCGTTACCCGAGTCCTCATATACTGCTTGCGAGTTTGTGTCCGAAGCTCACATGTCAGCCGACTCTCATAAATGAACATTACTATGCTACACTCGGGGCAACACTTCATCCAAGGCAACAGCAGAGAATACAGCATCACCATCAACATCGGTGCCAGCCTCTCCTTCGTGCGTGATTGGACCTCCACCGACATGTCATCGCATAAGCCACAAACAACCTTACCATCTCGTTAGAATGACCCCGTCTCATGTCTCAGAAGACCCATTTGAAACGAAGCTCGTTGCCATTGCAAACACAAGAAAGCAAGCTTTCTAAATATCAAGTTTTTTGAAAGTGTGTAACACTTTCTAAAAATGTATATTTCGAAAGCGACGCTGCTTGTAATGCAGCAATGGCAACGGCGAAGTGCTCTACGCTCTTCGCCAACTATATAGCAGGAGGTGGAGGCCATTTGGCCTCCACCCACGTCTTCGTTTGAAATTTCAAATGTATTATTTCCCACCCACCCACCCTAGCAAAAATTGCATGTTGGAACTTGTAATGTATGTACCATATCTAAGTAGGACGAGAATGTTGTAATGCCCATTTGAAACGAAGCTCGTTGCCATTGCAAACACAAGAAAGCAAGCTTTCTAAATATGTATATTTTCAAAAGCTGTAACACTTTTTAAAATTATGTATTTTGAAAGCGAAGCTGCCTGTAATGTAGGATTTGGCAGCGTCGAGCCGCGCTAAACGCCCGTTTTGGAGTACAAAACGTGGGCTGGAGGTCATTTCCCTCCACCCACGTCTCTCATTTCAGACGGTTTAGCCGATCTGGTGCAGGATTGCTCGAGAAGCTCAAGCAAGAATTGCTGCGGATAACCACGCGTACGAGGGCTGACTCGACGATTCGCACCTACAAACCATACTGGGCCAAGTTTCGCGCATTCTGCACACACGTCAAATTGTAGTTCCTGCCATGCACAGACATGACACTCGCATTATACCTGGTCCACGCGATTCAACAGAAGGCCACCATATCGGCAATACAACTGACATGCTCGGCAGTCAGCTTTGCGCATCGGATGATTGGGGCCACGTGCCCGTCGACTGGGCCATTCACATCCAACGTGCGAGACTTCGCCAAGCGACATTGCCCGCGGCCCCAGCGTCTCAAGGAACCCGTCTCTCTACATCAAGTACACGCAATGGCGGCGGAATTCCTGGAATCGAACAAGCCTGGCGAGTTTCAGAAGGGGCTCATTCCGTTACTCATGTACTCCGGCTTCCTACGATACTCAGACCTCGCCGCACTTAACTGGCACAAGATTGAGTTTGAGCAAGACGTTATGTGGCTCCTGATCCCCCGCTCCAAAACAGACCAGGCAGGAGACGGTGCATGGGTTCCCGTAGCCTCAAACTTCGGGCCCTTTTTGCCCCGTACAGTGCACTAAGCACTTCATCCAGTTGGCAGGCTACGGCCGTGCACAGGAAGGTCCACTGATACGAGTCTTCGGTTCAGACACCATGGGTCGTGGTAGTCCGCCAACACCACCCTCCTACACAACGATTCGCAATTGGTGCAAGGAGGCATTCCAAAAGATTGGATTAGGACTCGAGCACCTCGGCACCCACTCTTTCCGCAAAGGCGCAGCAACTGTCGCCGCCAACGGAGGAGTACCCGACCGCATTCTGAAGCAGCTGGGGAGGTGGCCCAGCGATACGGCTAAAGAAATGTACATCACTCCGGCAATAGAACAGTTGGTCGGAGCATCTCGACATGTCCAAGATCCGACGCGAGCCTCGTCACCGTTGCAACACTCAGCGGCGTTGACACGCCATCGCCAACCAGCACGACACATGTCTCAGAAGACCCATTTGAAATGAGACGATGCCAATTGCTACATGCAAGAAAGCAAGCTTTCTAAATATGTATATTTTCAAAAGCTGTAACGCTTTTTAAAATGATGTATTTTGAAAGCGAAGCTGCCTGTAATGTAGGATTTGGCAGCGTCGAGCCGCGCTAAACGCCCGTTTTGGAGTACAGAACGTGGGCTGGAGGTCATTTCCCTCCACCCACGTCTCTCATTTCAGACGGTTTAGCCGATCTTCCCACCCACCCCCCCTCGAAAGCAGGATAGCGTTGATAACATAGAGGCATATTATTGTAATGACGCTGCTTGTTTTCAATTGTACTAAACCCATTTGAAATGAGACGATGCCAATTGCTACATGCAAGAAAGCAAGCTTTCTAAATTGGCTGATTTAGGGTCAGGACGCTGATTTCCCAGACATGTGGCTGATGTTAAAGCCGGCGGCCCAAACTGTTCATGCTTTTAAAATTTGTTCGAAGGGAGTTTTTCTGGTGTGGGCTTTGGCGAGAGTTTCCAATTTCGTAAAGGTTTGTTTTCTTCGCGAGACCAAGCCAACCCTCAGTTTTCCACCTAGTGAGTGAATCTGTCTTCGAAAGTCCCAAATTGCAAGTGCGTGTCTTTCAAAAGCTTGGACACTCAACTTCATCAAGTTTTAAAACTTGACCCTCGCGGTCCGCAATTTGGGACGCGGGCTTTAAGATAGGAAGCAGGAATGGTTGCATTGAATGAAATCTGGGTACAAGTACTGACCCTAACTTCAGATTGTACCCCATATGGGCTAGCTCACTATAGCCTACACAGAACTAAGACATGTACAGCAGGCCCCTATATTCGTTTTGAGGTAGTATGCGGCCTTAGAGTACACCCCTCTTCCTAGTCTGGCTGTCAGAGTAACCCGATTCTTTTAGTCTGAAAGTTCAGACTACACTTGCATTTCAATGCTGATCTTACAGACTAACAGTCAATTTCACAACTTATATGAAAACACCTACGGTAAGTGTAGTGAACTTCTTACATTTCTTCTTGATAGTCTGACAGAGATACTACAGGGGCACGTGCTACTACTGGCTGTCAGAACATTATAGCTTATACATTTGTGTAGGTTGTAGTGGGGTAGCCCATAAGGGGTACAACCCAATTAGGGTTAGTACTTGTACCGAACTCTTTCATAGTTCAATCATTCTCTCGTTCTAATCTTCACATGGTATAGAGCTGGTTCCCTCGTGGGAACTATTCATAGGGCCCACCGACTTTTTTTCCTGCCCGGAGCACGCTTGGCCCCTGCCCAAGTCGCGCCCCGTGTCGTTCCCCCTCTAGCGACCCCTTTTTACGACCCCTTCTGGCCTCGTCGCGCCGCCCTTGCGCCCCCGTCGCGCCGCCTTTGCGGCCCCGTCGTGCCGCCCTTGCGGCCCCGTTGCGCCGCCCTTGAGGCCCCGTCACGCCGCCCTTGCGGCCCCGTCGCGCCGCCCTTTAAGCGGCCCCGTCGCCGCCCCTTTCAGCGGCCCCGTCGCCGCCCTTTCCGCGGCCCTGTCGCCGCCCCTTTCAGCGGCCCCATCGCCGCCCTTTCCGCGGCCTCATCGCCGCCCTTCCGCGGCCCCGTCGCCGCCCTTCCATGGCCTCGCCGCGAGCCCTTGCAGCGGCCCCGTCGCCTCCCTTCCACGGCCCCGACGCCGCCCTCCAGCGGCCCTGTTGCCGCCCTTCAGCGGCCCCGTCGCCGCCCTTTCAGCGGCCCCGTCGCCGCCCTTTCAGCGGCCTCGTCACCGCCCACCCTTTCAGCGGCCCCGTTGCCGCCCTTCCGCGGCCCCGTCGCCGCCCTTCAGCGGCCCCGTCGCCACCCTTTCAGCGGCCCGTCGCCGCCCTTTCAGTGGCCCGTCGCCGCCCTTTGAGTGGCCTTTCGCCGCCTTTTCAGCGGCCCCGACGCCGCCCTTCCACGGCCTCGTCGCCGCTTAGCCGCCCAGCGCCCGAGCCGCTGAGCAACCGAGCCGCCGAGCAGCCGAACCGCTGAGCAGCCGAGCCGCCCGACCGCCGAGCCGCCCTGCAGCCGAGTCGCCCAGCAGCCGAGCCGCCAAGCAGCCGAGCCGCCAAGCAGCCGAGCTGCCCATCCGCCTAGCCGCCCAGCAGCCGAGCCACCGTGCAGCCGAGCCGCCCGACCGCTGAGCCGCTTGTCCGCCTGCCCGGGACCACCCTACTTGCCTCGTAAGAGCAGAGCCTCTGCCACTGCACTGCTCTGCCCCATTGTACTCATTGCCTATCTACTGCTGTCATTGCCTCCCCTAATGTTCATACCTTTGATGTAGAGGGTCGGGCAGTTGACTTTGAGGTCTCGGTAGATGATCTGCGGCTTTTCCTCCAGTGCGATAGGGAAGATGGTCTCTCCCTGTTTGACCTCACTTCTGGTGCCTCTCCTGCCCCTGCTGCTCATGCAGACGCCACTGTTCGCTTACAGTGGGCCACGCGCGATGCTGCTGCTCGCCTTGCTGTGCGCCGCCACTTACCGACCACTAAGCGTGCACACTTTAGCCAGTACAAGAGTGCTCAGACCTTGTACGATGCTGTAGTTGCACGCCACTCTTCCCCTGCCACTGCTGCACTGAGCTGTCTCATGCTACCGTAGCTCTTCCCTGACCTTCTTGCCTTTCCCACTGTCGCTGACCTCATTAGGCACCTTCGCACTAGTGACACTCGCTACCGCGCTGCGCTTCGTGCTGAATTCTGCGCCAAGAACCCCCCCCCCCCCCCATGTACATCACCCTCTAATACATCATCACCCGGCTCCCTGACTCTCTCCGCGTAGTCAGGGACCACTTCCTCTCTATTTGCCCCACCACTCTCACC